TTAGTATGCCAATAAGATCTGGGTGAATTAAAAATATGCAAAGTGCAAGACTGAAAATTAATGGGAAAAAAACCCTCTTCCATTGAAAACACACACAATCATATGCACATACACACATACACACACCCACACACCCAATTAAGATTCTTGGCCATGTAGAGAGATCTATGACATCTAGATGCTTTGTTCCTCCTGGTGTGAAAAGTAGAGGAGAGTGTTCCTAGAACCTTTTTTTTTTAATATATGGAAAACATGTCTACAATCCTGATAAGAAGCAATTTCTCCCCTTCTGAGAAATGATTAGGGGGAATATTTATTACTATTTACTAAGCACCTCCTGTCTAGAAAATTCCCACTCTGCCCCTCATGCCTGCCTCGTGGTTCTCCCATTGGCTCATGGGCCTGAGGAGCTTCATAGCTAATGTTTTCTGAAAGGGATGCTGGTTTATCTTCTCCCCGTTTTACAAGGTGAAAGAGAATGTTTAAGTAATGCCACAGAGCGTCCGAACTGAATTTAGGGTTGGGGTAAAAAGCCTAGATGTGCAGCTCGAACCAGAGTGTTGATGTGAGGAGGAGGGGAATTCAGCCGGGTGGGATTTCCAAGACCCACTGGCAAAAGTTCTCAGGGCAGTTACAAGGCATCCTTCATGTTGAAGCCCGTCCTTGTACCCTCACACAGAAAAGCATCAGGTCACAGATCATTCTGAAGAATCAACTCAGTGTCACAGGCTGATGACAAGCTGACATCTAAGGTCCTGGACAAGCGTTCTTTGGGGGTGCCCTCACAGAGCGAGAGAGTTGCATCAGCAGAATGTCACTGACGGCTGTCACCAAATACACCAAACAGGGCAGAGCACTGATGGCTAATGCAACGACAGCCCCATAAACTGAGAATCCTGATGCCTTTTCTGAAGGCTGCAACAGAATATCATGTTAAAGCAGTTTCTTGGCAAAGGTAGATGGCTTTATAGAGCCCCATCAGAGAACAGCAGTGTCAGGCTTATTCATTAACAATGCTTGGTCTTTGCCTAGCATCTCTCTTTCGTGAACAGTTTCAGCCAAACTCTTATGACAGCACTTGTCACTTACTAGCCAGAAAGTAGGTGTAGACAGGAAGTCACTTATAAATGTGTGTAGCACAGAAAGACCGATCTCTGCTTTTATAAGGCAGTAATCAATAGCTAGAGAAGGAAAAATGCTGAATGATGGCAGTGGTCCTCAGCATAGGCTCTGAGTCAGAGACCTGGGATCTGGCTCCCTCACTTGCTGTATGATATTAGGATGTTATTTAACACTACTGAACCTCAGTTTCCGCATCTTTAAAATGGGAACAATCATAGTACCTATTCTATGGGATGGTAGAAAGGATTCAATTACATTGTATACATAAAGCACTTGGTACAGTGCCTGCCACATAATAAATTAGGAAAATGTTAGCTACTTTTAGAATAACTATTATTATCACCATTACCAGTTAAAATTAGGAAATGCTTTTTACAAGTGATCACTTTGAATTTAACTTGTATGCCATCTGATCTGGAAGTATAATAAGGGTATACAATTCCTACCGATTTAGTGAGTCAAACAGAAAACCAAAACAAATTGAATCATTCAACTGGTGAATTTAGAATTGCTGATGATTATAGCATTCAAGAAAGTTAGTGAAATACATAAATTGCAACTGAACTGTTCTTGAAAACCCCCCAAATCAGTTTTCATTTGTCTGGCCTAATGGTGGATAAGGCCTGTTCATTTTAAACATGTATATTTAGACCTTCTAAAAAGGAAACATTGTACTATGAACATGGAGGAGATGAAAGGTGTTAAAACAAAGAGAGCATGCCAAAATTATTCATGTTCCATCTCTGAATACAGAAAAGAATGCATTGCATTCACATATCGCTTTATGCTTTTTATGGAATTATCACCACATTGACACTTCATTTCACACACACACACACACACACACACACACACACACACACACACACACGGGAGGCCATGATGTACACATCCACCTCTTTGTACCCCAGCACTGATTCTCTTCTAAGTCAGCTCTGCTGTCAGAGCCCAGGTTGCATACAGATGGAGGGGAAGGTATGTTGTTTGTACCAAGGTTATGGGTCCACTCCAAAAATTTCATTCAAAGGATAATCTGATTGGCAAAACTTGAGAGAGGCTGGTATATGCATTTCTTTTATCATCTAATTCAAAAAACTCCACAACACAACTTGGACACAACCACCAGTATCAAAGGTCCTAATGTGAAATAATTTGTGTTGAGTGTGTCGCATTCTGACAGTGCTATAAACCAGGAAGACAGTTTACTGACAATTCTGTGCTACCAGATACCAACCCAGGCCTCTGTCCAGCTTTACGTTGTCAACTCTTATGGAAACATGAGCAGTTACACAGCCTCAAAGGACGCTAAAGTTTGGATTGCAAAAGACAAGATGGACAGATTTTATATGTTCACTGCAGATTTTTTTTTCTTGCCTTTTCAAACTGCTGAGCATAATTTTTTAAGGCAGGAAATGCAACTAGTGTTTGTTTCTACCATGGCTTCTGTTTTGAGATTTCTTCTTTGTAGAAGAAATGTGTTGCCCAGCTGTCTAGAATTCCAATCAGGATATGGTTTCAGTCTGAAATATATTGCAAAAGCAATTTTAGCTGGTTATAAACAGAAATGAAAATAAGGCTGGGGCTATTTTATCTAAGTTTTACCCAAAGAAGGGGTGCTTTGGGTCAGTCTAATGGGGACAATGTGAGCAACTGAGGTAAAATCTAGTTCTATTTACCCCCCAAGAAGGAGAGTAATTGTGAAAGGCAAAGGCGCACATTAGTGAGCGAGCGAGAGCTGCGAAGATTCTCAGAAATGAGTCATGTGGTCACTGGTCAAAAGCACTGCAGTCAACACTTAAAAGGGCGATTCAACCCGAATTGAACTGCTGGAGAGTTTTATGATTCTCAGTAATACAATTTCTATGTGCAACACACACATGTAATTCAATAAATATTAATTAAGAATTTCCTCTGTGGAGACCCTTGGCTACAACTGGTTAATCGAGGAAGACTCAAGGGTGAGTCAGGTCTTACCTTATTAGGTGTATTAAGATTTGTGTATGGGGCAGATATTTCAACCAATATCCTATTTTTTCAATCCAAGACTTTCAGATTTTAGCGCTTGTAAAACATAATCACTGCGTACATTTTATAACATTTTCTCCAAAAGATGGCATTATATCTCTGGGTCTTGTAGGAAATGAAATTTTAGAAGTGACATGAGTATGTACTACAGTAAATTCAACTGCCCAGTGAAATAGGAACCCAGGAGGAAATTATTTATAATTTGGCCTTGAAAAATAAGGAATAATTTTCCAGGTAGGAAGCTTGTATATGTGGGGTAGAAAAGAAAACATGAGGATATTGAACATAGAGGAAAGAGAGTATGCAAAGACAGTAAGTAATACAGCAGCTTGATACAGAAAACATCCCGGTTTTCTGTATTATGAACATCTTGCATTAGTGTGGTACATTTGTTACAATTGATGAGTCAATATTGATACTTTATTATTAACTGAAGTCCACAGTTTACATTAATTTCACTCTTTGTGTTGAGCATTATATACATATTGACAAACACAATGTAATGTATTCACCATTCCAATATGAAAACAGAATAGTTTCAAGGCCCCTGTGTTCACCTATTCATCCCTTCTCCCCCATTCCAACACCCCAGTCTTTTGCAGCCTCTGAACTGCTATTGTGCATAACTTTGCCTTTTCCAGATTGTCATACAGTTGGGATAACTTAGTACGTCTCCTTTTCAGACCAGTTCCTTTCCTTAGCAATATGTATTTATGGTTCTTCCAAGTCTTTTTATGGTGTGATAGCTTATTTCTTTTTATCACTGAATAATATTCCATTATATGGATATGCCATGGTTTGTTTATTTACTCACGGATTGGTGGTCATCTTGGTTGCTTTCAAATTTTACCAATCACAAATAAAGCTGCTTCAAAAATGTGTGTGCAAGTTTTTGTGTGGACATATTGTACTCATTTGGGTAAATACCAAAGAGTGCAATTGCTGTGTCTGATGGTAAGAATATCCATACCACATGCAAACATAATACAATATGTTTATTTTCATAAGAAACTGCCAAACTATCTTTCAAAGTGTCTGTACCATTTTGTATTTCCCCAGCAGTGAATGTGAGTTCTTGTTGCTCCCATACTTGCCAGCATTTGGAGTTGTCAGTGTTTCAGATTTTAGATATTGTAATAGCTGTGTAATTATATCACATTATTGCTTCATTTGTAATACTTTAAGGGCATATGCATTTCCTAATTTTTAATCCCTTTACTCATGGTTATATATTTTTCTAACATCTATGATTTTGACTCTTATGTTTTCTATCATTCAGTCATTCATTTATTTAATCAACATTTATCAAGTGTTTGTTATATGCCAGTAACACTTTTAGATGTTAGGTTGTTTTTTCTTGCTTTTATTCTTTTATTATTCTCTTCTCCATTATTTTTTAATATATATTTTTATTGATTTCAGAGAGGAAGAGAGAGATAGAAACGTCAATGATGACAGGGCATCATTGATTGGCTGCTTCCTACATGCCCCTCTACTAGGAATCAAGCCCGCAACCAGGGCATGTGTCCTGACTGGGAATCGAACCATAACCTGGGTCATAGGTTAATGCTCAACCACTGAGCCACACCAGCTGGGCCTCTTCTCCATTTTTAGTTTGCCATATCCCTCTCATTATTTATTTCACATAAACTATTAGTTGGTCCCTCTATTCTATTTAATTTCATATAAAGTATCTTTTGCTTCTCTGGTAATAATTGTTTACTTTTTTAACGTTCTTTTTCTTTCTTCAACACTTTTATCATTATACATTCACAATGCCTACAGCACAGAATCAGAAATATTGGTAGAGATGAAACTACTAAAAAAATCTCTGAAGTGAAGAAATCACTTACCTTGGTTGACAATAAATCTTAGTTTCTGTATTGTTGCCAGATTGCCACTAACTCGATATATTCCATCAACATCTAGACCTGAAAATAAAAAAAAAGCATGCTTTATATTTGCTGATATGAATACTGAAATAACAAAAGAAAAAAACAATAAGTACAGGAAGAAAGGCAGTAGTAAATCAAATACCTTCCTCACAAACATATTTCTGTGTCCTACACCAAGCAATCTTCAGTATTTTAATCCCAAAAGACTAATCATGAACTTCAGTGACAGTTAATGATCAACAAACTTGAGTCTAGCATAAAAGAGCAGTAGGTAGCATGGGATTTCACAGTATAGCTCAGATTCATTCCCAAGGAAAATATAGGCATAGGCATAAAATTGAAGGGGGGGAGGCAGGGAATAAGAACCTTCATGTATTATTGCCCTTTGTTGGAAAGATGGAAGGTTTTTGTGAAGTCTTAGTTTTTCCCCTCCCTCCCTCTCTCCCTCCATTCCATCCTTCCTTTTTCCCTCTCTCTCTCCTTTCCTCTCCTTATCTCCCCTTTTCTCTTATCACTCTCTCTCCCCTCCCTCCAGTTTCTATCCTATCCTGTCCTATCCTACCTTACCTGTCCTGTCCTATCCTGTTCTAGTCCGTTCTCGTTTTTTAGTGCCACAACAGCATGGCATGTATTGAACTTGTTATTTCAAACTGCAGTATAAAATTTATATTCCAGATGTATACTCGGTTTGACATTTCTAGTGCATTACAGGTAATGGGGTGCTCTGTTATGGGAGAAAAAAATTAAAATGAATCCTTGACAAAATGGTAAAATTTGTTCCAGATTATTTTAAAATTGGTCATCTATAATTCAAAATAACGTATGCTGGCAGTGGCTCTAGATGACCAACCCCTTGTTTTCCACACATCTATTACAGCATCTAGTGATTTCCAACACCAGGTCATCAAAATGATGAAGAAACAGGAAAATTAAAAGAGAAACACTATCATTATCCCTAAAAATGTTCATAATGTACTTTTAATGCCAAGAGTATATATTCCCTGATGTGTCTGTGCCCTTGGAGAGGCCTGGGTGAGAGTGCCAGCAATGCAGAGGTCACGGGCTCAGCAGTTTCTCTAAGTTGGCACAGCACCATGGTTGAACATTGTAATCCGCTATCGTAAGTATTAAATGCATTGGTAGAAATTATTGTGATAGTGTAGCAGAATAAAGGCTCTGTAAAGCTCGGCTGACATAAAATGAGCTTCTTTATTAATTTAACATGGCTGTTTATACAAAATTTATAGTAGGAAATGTATGGCATTGTACAAAGTATTTCATCAGTAGGTTAGGGTAAAATCACATGTCATGTAATACTGGTATTAACAGCATAATTCAAAACAAAAAATATTCATTATTTTTATTTTAGTTAGTATTATTACTTTTTAATCACTCATCATTTTTTAAGACTTTACCTTTTTAGGGCAGTTTTAGGTTTATAGCAAAATCGACAGGGAGGTACAGAGGTTTCCTCTGTCCCCACACAAGCATAGCCTCTCCCATCATCAACATTCTTTCACCAGAGTAGCACACTTACTACAACTGGTGATCCTACAATGATACATCATAAACATTCAAATTCCACTGTTTGCATTAGGATTCAATTTTGCTGTACATTCTTCGGTTTAGAACAGATGCATAATGACATGTATCCACCATGATAGTATCACACAAAGTATGTTCACTGCCTTAAATGTTCTTGTGCCCCACCTAATCATCCTCACAATGGTTCTTACCCTTCCATATAATAAAGTATGGAATAACTTGGGATAATGTCATTAAGATTGAATAGCTAATAGCAAATGTATTAATTGGTGTGATTTTAAAACTGTATTTTTATTGATTTCAAAGAGGAAGGGAGAGGGACAGCGAGATAGAAACATCAATGATAAGAGACAACCATTGATTGGCTGTCTCTTGCATGTCCCATACTGGGGATTGAGCCACACCCTGGGCATGTGCCCTGACTGGGAATCAAACCATGATCTCCTGGTTCATAGGTCAATGCTCAACCACTGAGCTACATCAGCCGGGCTAATTGGTGTGATTTTTGTAATTCTAGAATAATCTAATAATAAGTTATCAAGTTTGTCCTTTCCTGAGAACTATGAATATGTGAGGAATTAGAATAAGTTTTGACACCTATTTGTGTGTATTGAAAGTGTCTAAGATATATCCATTAATAAAAATCAATACATTCTTCTTTCCTGATGCACAAAATAGCTCCATTAATCAAAGGTACTCCAGTATGGTTGCTTTTAAGTATACTGTACATTTGACAACTTAAATGTGACAATTATCCTAATTAAAATTTTTATAATATTTGATTCCTACTTTTGGTATAGAACCATGTTGGTCTTCAATTTATGCACAATGACTCAGAACTTTATAATTTATAAACAATTTCTTTCTTGCTTTGTCATTAGGTAGTATTTGGTACTTAGTTTTAAATAGAAATGTTAAATAATGTAATATATTTTTAAAATATTAAAACTTAGCATTCAAGTAATTGTGTCCCTTTCAAAGTTTTCCCCGTTGGGAGTATGCTTGATTTGTCTGAACATGTAGCCGTTAAGGAAAATATTTTGGAATTCCCTAAAATCACCTTTAGAGGCTCCATATTGTCTATAGAAAAATGGTCATGATGGCAAGTTCAGTGACTTTGGTAATGGTTTTGGATTTGGAAGTAGTCAAGAGCCATGCAGAACCACAAACAGTGAATACTGTCATCTGGCTTGCCAATTCAAACAAAGTTTGGCCAAAAGAAAGTGGTCTTGATTTTTTTCCATGAATTATCAGTTACTCTGAAGGAATTTGAGTAACAGAATATTTTAGAAAATAAAAACATCAGTAGAATATGTAGATCTACATTCTCCAAATGAGAATCCCGTTTTCTAAAGAATTAGTCTAATTAGCCCTACTTAAAGTAATGCTTAAAGATGAGATGTCAACATCTACAATAAAAAATGAAAAAAATTACTATACATATTTTTATAAATATTTTTTTTCTTAATTAATTGGACCCTCAGCAGAGGTTATTAGTAAATACAATTACTTGAATTCCAACATATCCTTATTGTAAATAGGACCCTTCTTAAACCTCACCTTAATATTCATCTTCCTTCATAGGAGATACAAAATCAAGTGCATTTCTATTTTGAACTTAAGACTCTTCCTTTTCTAATATTATTTTATGCTATTGAAATGCATATGTTGTCTAGAGTTATAAATTAAATTTCAATTACTGAAATTCTTCAGTATAAATTTAAATTTATAACATAAGAAGTACCTCCTTGATTTTCCATAAATTTCAGTGGAAGTTTGTTTTACTTTTTAGTTATTTTTTTTTAAGTTCAGTAATCAAAAACATTTGAAAGAGCAGTATGTTAGATATATTATGTATGGGCAATTGAAAAGCACTATACTATTTAAACAAAGCAGCCTCATCCTAAATTAATAAACCAATTTTCTTTGGGAATAAAAGGAGGGAGGGCTGGGAATGAAGACAGGGAGGGTAACTCAGACCAGTGCACCACTGTGGTCATAGAACTAAGTCACAGCAGAGAAACTGCTTTGTGGCTTAACATAAAAACCAGAAAGTAAAATGGAGTAAAGCAAACCATATTGGATGCAATTTAAGTCTAACTTGACACAACTTCCAAGCCCTACAGACTCAGAGATATCCATGCTATTTATCTTGCAAAGGATAACAACCTCTGACATTAGTGGCTCCTGCTTTAAATGGCTCATGCTCCCCTGCTATCATACTTTTTAAATTACATCAATAGAGTGAAAATGACAAAGTACATATTAAAAAGGAGTGTATTACATTTTGAAAAATAATCTGGAACATATCAGTGAATTTTAGCAGTTATAAATTATATAGGGGCAGTCTTGAAGTTGATTAGCTTTCCCCTGAATGGTTCACAGAATGGCAAACCCCAAGTCCTGGGAATATTCCCCACATTGCAATGATTCACGTGCCATCCTCTTTTTTGCTCCAAGAACTTTAAAAGTTATGCCAAACCAAACCAATGTAAATTGGTGGATTTGGACATCCTTTTCATGACCACATTATCCTTACTGGATTGGAAACTACTTATTTTGGAAACATAATTAGACCTCTTATGATTTTTAAATGAGCAACGTCTTCAAGGTATCTATGTTGTACTTTGGTGACGTTTGGAGGAAAATTACTTTGAGAGGTACTTCTTTCAAGAAAATACCATGACTATGAGTGCTGGCAGGAATTCTGCCTGTTATGCTAAAAATATTTTGGGAACACGATGAAACTAAGTCATTTTACATAAAAAAAAAAATCAGACTAGCATTAATGGCAGTGGTGAAAAAATCTGTGAAGAAACCCACATTCATCCAAATGTGGATTTTGTTCATCATCAGCTGACCTTCTTAAGTTTCAAAATAGTGTTTACCATTGACACGAATCACCGGTTATTGCTTGAGTGGATTTTCAAAAGTCTTTTCGCTCTTTTCCTTTTTGAAGAAGTGTGGACTACAATAGACACACAATTAGGAGTGATTAGACCAAATGGTGGTCTAAACCCAATGGAAAGAATGCAGCTGTCATGAGTAATTCCCACCATAAATTTCAGACACTTTCCAAAAAGAAATCTAAGAGACCATCACTGTTTCCAGAGTTGACTGGCTTATCTGCCAAAATAAGGGCAGTTTTTAACAATGCAGATGAGCCTGTTACAAATAGGTAGCATTCTTGGTAGCTGGAAGGATGGATAAATCACCAAGATGTGGAGTTTGAGTCTGGTTGAAAGGTGTGTCCCAAAGCTTGCTTGTTTTTCTGAAACATTAAAAAAAAAATGCATCTGAGCCTCTGGAGTCTGAAATGTGGGCTGGGAAATTTGCACAAACAGTCCCACTCTTGAGATTTATGGCACTTCCCAATTCCCAGGAGGCCAGGGCTATGGCAAGAACAGTCATTCTCGCAATACTTTGGTCTTCTCTTTTCCCTCTGGCAAGAACTAGTGAGAGCAGGAACACCCAGACTGCCCCCAAAGACT